TTTGGGGTTCAGAAAATCCACGAATGATTGTTGAGAAACAAATGCATCCATAACGTGTCACTGTTTGTTGCGGATTTTGGGCTGGAGGCATCATCAGACCATTCTTCTTCGAAAATGCGGCTGGTCAGGCAATAACAGTTAATGGTGCTCGCTATCGCGACATGATAATCCAGTTTATTGTGCCTTAATTGTAAGATATGGATGTGGACGACATGTGGTTGCAACAGGACCGTGCCACATGCTATACAGCCCGAAAAACAATTCAATTACTGCATGAGCCATTTCCTGGTTGTGTAATTTCCAGTTTTCGTGATCAGAACTGGCCGCCCAGATCATGCGATTTAACGCCGTTGGACTTTCTTCTTTGGGGTTTTTTGAAGTCTAAGGTCTATAGCAACAAGCCCACGACCACCCATCTCTTGAAGGAGGAAATTGAGCACTGTATCAACGAAATTCAGCCACATTTACGCAACAGAGTCATGGAAAATTTCAACAATAGCGTGCGTATGTGCCAGCAAAGCCGTGCAGGCCATTTACCCGATATGCTTTTGCATACATAACCCTATGCTGTATATTTATGAATTAAAAAAAAAAATTTCTATTTTTAATAATAAACCTGTGTTTTCTATCAAAATTACTTCCTGCGTGAATTTTGGGACACCCTTTACAATGAACTTGATTATATCTAATAAAGAATTTAGAACTTCACACTGTTTACTGTATAACAGGTGGGTGCTTCTTATTTCATGCATGGGAGGCAATTGTTGTGGGAATGATCGGGGCCTTCATCGCTTGTTCTGTCATGCCTGTAATGGATCGACTCGGCATTGACGATCCCGTCGGAGCGTCTGCTGTCCATGGTAAGTTGATTATTCAGATACTCCGTTTCTTAAGTTTTTCCCCTTTCTCCTTGCGCCGAGCATGAATTAATCAATCAATTGTCCCGTCGTTCCGTCCACCAATCGAAGGCGCAAGTGGCGTTTGGGGGATGCTCGCTGTAGGACTCTTTGCTGATAATCCGCATCCACTACACACCACCAACGGACGAAGAGGATTATTTAAAGGTTTATTTCCATCATAATTTGTGTGAACATTTAAGATAAAGTGAAATCCACCGAGAAATTTAATCAACAGCAGTAAGAAAGATTCTTCTAAATATCTACGTCACCGACGTTCGTATTTATATTAACAGCCATGTCGAATTATATGAGTATTGTATTAAATAGCATACTGCATAAGCCGTTTCCGTACAATGATTATAAAGAAATCAAGGTAAAACTTCAGAAATTTCCCGAATTCATAGTTTTTGCATAGCTGCGTATGGAAATATTTCACGCCATTCGTTCGAAAGTGCGGTACAGCCCACTGGTGTTCTCTACGCCCATGTAAAAGTTGGAACTGTTTTCAAAGGGGGCAAAAACTTCCTGATCGGTAAAACAGTGAGTGTGCGGGTTCCGTGACCGCGACCTCCATCATCCGCGAATGACAACTTTATTTGGTATTTCAGAGATGAGTGGGGAGATGTTTCATGCCATTGTTTGAAAGTGAAACACGGCCCACTAGCACCCTCTACGCTTCTGTAACAATTGGAACTGTAGGAACTACAACTGTAGGCGGACACAATCGACATCTGGGAAACAGACGCGACAGTTCTTTCCTAAACAAGCTCTTCTGTAAACTTTTTGCTTTCTCAAACTTTCTGTCCTAGAATATTTCTTACATGACACTCATCAGAACTGCATATTTCGTCGTATGTTTTCTGTCAAACCCTTCAATTTTTTAAAGGACTGCTCTTGACCAGGACGCGACGAACCGAACAACGAACAGTTCGACTTCGACTCGCCCACGACGCACAACCGGCAGACGTTTGATCGTATCCGAGTAATAAAGAACAATCTTTAAACACCGAATTCCGAGTTATCACACTCCTCTCTCGATTTCTATAAACGGGCACACGTGCGCCCAAAGAACTGTTTTAAAGGGGCGAAATATTTGTAACCGGCAAAATCATGGACGTAAGAATGCATTGACAGAGCCCAAGCCAGAGGGGCGAGTGCCGGAGTAAGTAAGGGGGGAACACGTAGCAACAATGGGAAGGTAGCCATATTGTTGTGCCTATATCTTAGGTGGAACTTTGGGTTCCGTCCATACATTCTTACGTTCATGGGAAAAACAGTACGCTATAAATGAAGTGGTATCTCGAGGTCACAACATGAACAGCTTTCAAAGGGACGAGAACATTCACCGTCGTTAAAAGAGTATGGTTCGAATGCAGTGCCATCTAATGATTAAAAGGCAAACTGGTTTCAAATGGGCAAGAACTTACATTATCGGTGAAGACATCCGAACATAAAGCATTGAAAATTGTGATTTTTATACATTAAACGATTATAGAAGAAGATATTTTAAAACAAACTCTCATTATTAGAAAATGGAAGCATCGACAGGTAGTGGTCTGTCAATCTCTTTTTCATTACCCGATATTTACTTCTAAAAATCTTTTCTGTCATTTCCTTTTAATAAGACGCTTGCAATGAAATGACAATAAAGATCATGAAATAATAATAACAAAATGCTAAGTATATCGTAACAAAAATGAAATAAGCTTACAATAATAAAGCAATATATCGTAATCCCACCAAAAACATCTTTGGTGTAAAAAAAAGACAAGTTCATTGCTTGATGTCATTTCACCTTCTGGAATCACTACGAACATTCCTACAAAGAATCAGTAGCCACTATCTTATTATTAATTAAAAAAAAAAAAGTAGAACAAACCTTCTGAAGTAGCAGTAGTAATCACTTAATTTTTACAAAAAAAGACCAAAAAATTATTTTTCATGTTCAACCTACTAAAGTTATCAAATCAACCGTTGCGGACAAGTTTAGACAATTTGACCGGTGTACCGATGGCCTTTTAAAGTAGTGAAATCAGTTACCGAAAAACAAGTACAAATACAGCTCGATTAATAACCGTTCCTATAACTTTGAATTGTTAATATATTATATGAAAGTATCAGTAAATACACTTTCAAAAATATTTAACGATGTATGCTAGTATAATACTTTCATGGTCTATCATTTTCCTCACTTTATGGCCTCCACTCGATTCTACAAGTGACTAATCTTTATTCTGAACAATTTAAAGGGTTGCTAACCGCAGTACCGAACTTGTCGGGCCCCTTGCATAAGTTACTGAAACAACGATGAAAATTGATATTTCGTACGCTGTAAATCTGAATTCACATCATTGTACTTTTATTATGGCGCATTAATGATAGTTTATATAACTGCACTTTCCACGTATATTTACTGAAAATTCATGAATAGATCATTTTACAATATTTTGATATTTCTCCATGGCAGAAATCCTACATATCACGAAGTTCCAAACAGAATGCCGAGGACGCGTGAAGCAGATTAACTACATATTACTTCGAAGCTGCCATATAAACAGTATATTTAAGTGAAACATTCGTATGCGGGGGCCCCAACAAGTTCGGTACTGCGGTTAGCAACCCTTTAACCGTTTGACTGCTACGCGGCGCAAAAACGCTGCGTTTATTTGTCTCGAAAACCGCGACGCAGCGCTTTTGCGCTGCGAGTTTCAGTGTTTCTTGGTTGCTCCACAGTTTTCGTGCGTTCTTGCAAAAATTGCTTAGCAGTCAAACGGTTAAATTGTTCAGAATAAAGATTAGTCACTTATAGAATCGAGTGGAGGCCATAAAGTGAGGAAAATGATAGACCATGAAAGTATTATACTAGCATACATCGTTAGATATTTTTTAAAGTTTATTTACTGATATTTTCATATAATATATTAACAATTCAAAGTTATAGGAACGGTTATTAATCGAGCTGTATTTGTACTTGTCTTTCGGTAACTGATTTCACTACTTTAAAAGGCCATCAGTACACCGGTCAAAATGTCTACACTTGTCCGCAACGGTTGATTTCATAACTTTAGTAGTGTTGCCGACGCGATGGACATGATCCGATAATTGCTGGGTCGCTTGAGGGGCCACCAGCCATGGGAATTACGCAAGAGCCCGCACCTCAGGTAGAGCATTCGCTTGTCTGAGGGGTTGGCCGGGATTTCCAGTTGGAAGTGATCGTTCGGGCAGCGCGGAACGATATAATATGGAGAAAGTGTGAAGTGCGTGCTGTCGACGAGGAGGGAAGACGGCGGAAGATGTGCGAAGTACAAGTGCAGTGCACGTAGCTTCAGAGCAAGGAAACGAAGATCGTAGAGGCGGCCGTCCTAGGAAGGCCGGTGAGGATACACCGCGAGAAGTGGTGGGGGCTCAGGTAACCGTCCGGGGCGGGCCTGGGGGGACCGTCGTTTGGGCACCGAGGGTTCGGGAAGAAGACGACTTCGGCGGGCCGCAGCGGTTGGTGGGACCGGGCCGTGGCTCTCCCGGGTTTCTTCCCCGGTCGGCTTCCAGGGCCCGCTTTGGGGGGGGGCGGCCTGTCATGGGGCCTTGGTGCCTCGAGATCGGCGCTGCCGGTGGCCCGGGTGTGTGGCGCGCCCCACTTGGGGCTGTGCTCCGTGGGGTCGCGTGTCCGTGTCCGGGTCCGGCGGCTGGGCCGTGACGGGTCGGTTTGGAAGTCCCCTTGGCTGGGCGGGGTCGACGCGGGGTGGACCGATCGGGGTGCGCGGTTCGCGGTTGGAGGTGTCTCGTAAGTGAGACGGGAATAACGCTGTGGCGCCGGTAATGCCCGACGGCGCGTCCGTCCCGGGCTGACGGCCTGGGCGGGCCTGGGCGACCACGACAAGACCGTGGTTATCCCGTAAAGACCTGCAAGAGGATCGAGACCGGGTAGCCGACCAATCACCGACGAGGGTGAAAAACAAGAAATAAAGGACGCCGTGCTGCTGAGGGGGCGCCTAAGCGCCGTAACCTAGCGGCAACTAAGCCTGGCGTCAATAAATGGTCCTTCGAGCCGGATGCCTGGTCGAGGTATGCATGGTGGGGGTAATCACCCGTACACGGGTAACGATGCCCGACTGGCAGGGCATTCTTTGTGCGATATCTGTGGTGAACACAACGAGCAGCAAGAATGTCTTCGCGAAGTGCTTCCAAGGGAGGAAAAGGGCGCGGGCGTGGCCGCGGTCGACGAGCTAACCCGAAGCCGGGTGAGCATAGGCCCCTCGATGCGGTTCCTGAAACCGCTGGTGAATCTACTGGTGAAGGTGCAGGCGGAGAACAACCCCTGGCGCAGCAGGAGGGCGGCCCGAGCCGTTCTTGGACTGGGGGTCCGCCATCGACACACTCAAAGGTCACCAGCGCGAGCACAGCATCGAGGAAGAGACGTCTCGAGCTTCAAGCTGCCGAGGAACGGGCCAAAATAAGGAAGGCTGCCATTCAAGAACGAGAGAGGATTGATCTGGAGCTTGTGGACCAAAGGTTACAAGCGGACCTGCTGGATGCGGAAGATGAGAATCGGGCCCAGGGCAGCCGGGAGGCGTCAATTGGCGACACGGCTGGAGGTGCAATTGAACGGAACATCCACCAATGGATGGAAGACTCTGAGCGGATTGCGTCGCCTCCGATGAATGAAGCCATGAAGACTGTTGAGCCTGAACAGCCGGCGCGTTCCTTGGGCGAGTCTAGTCGTGATGGAATTCGCCAGTTAACCGCGGCTATAACGCGGACATTGGACGCAGTGCAAGAAAACAATGCATCTGAGCGCACAACAGGACACCTGGTTAACCGATTGTCATCGATGAAGGATCGCCCAGTCTTTGGCGGTGACGTGCTCGAGTGGCCCGCGTTTAGGCGTGCGTTTCACTTATCCACCGCAAAGGGTGCATATTCCGAAGAGGAGAACCTAGCGCGATTGTACGGATGCTTGCGAGGCAAGGCAAGGGAGGCCGTGTCGTCCCTGATGATCACGAAGAAGACGACTGCTGAAATAATAGGCGCCCTGCAATTGCGCTTCGGCAATCCTGATATGGTTGCACAGAAGGTGCTGCAAGAAATAAAACGCTTGCCTAAAATAGAAGCAGGTCTGGGCAATCTGGTCGTCGTCGCCACACAAGTAAGGAATTGTGTGGCAGCCATGGAGGCAGCCAACCACTTGGGCTACTTACATAGTCCGGAGTTGGGGGCGCAAATCATTGACAGAATGCCTCCCGCACTGATTCACCAGTATACGCGCTTCGCACAAGGGAGTCAGGAGCCAGAGGAACCTCGACTGGTGAGATTGGCGAATTTTCTGTTCTGCGAGGCTGAGCTTGTGACGAAGGCAGGTATCTGTCGGGTAACCGAGGAGCGCCCGAGCCAAGCTGGACGGCGCGTGGAAGGGCAAAGAGGCCTCCGCCGGGCGAACGCCCGTCTACAAAGAGATACTGTCCTAATCACTCACAAATCTGCAACCGACGATCGACCTACACGAAAAGGGAAGAGCGATGGAACACGTCGGAGTGAGAGGTGCGGTTATTGCAAAGCTGCATGGCATACCACATTCCAGTGCCCGCAGTTTAAGAAGATCAGTGTCCAAGAGCGCTGGAAGTGGGCTAGACGGACAGGTGTCTGCTTTCTATGCCTTGTTGAAAAGCATCAGCGGTCCCGGTGCGAGGCAGCGCGCTGTGACCGCGCAGGGTGTGATCAAGCACACCATACCTTATTACACGGTGCTTCTGGAAGGGCCAAGAAGACGACCGAGATCGGGCCGTCGCGGTCAGAAACTCAGGATACTGACAGAGAGGTCACGGCCAATACTTGGTCCCAAGGGAGCCGACGTATTTTATTAAAGGTCCTTCCAGTATGCCTGACTGGCCCACGAGGCGACGTTAACACGTACGCCCTATTGGACGAAGGATCCACCGTGACGTTGGTGGACGCAGGTGTAGCAAAGGCTATCGGAGCGCACGGAGCGCAGATCAGACTTTCCCTACAAGGAGTGCGAGGTATGGAAATATCTGAACCCAACAGTAAAACGGTGACCTTTGCGATAAGCGGGACGCCCCACGGACCAAGCTATACGGTGTCGGGCGCCCGTACGGTGCAACAATTGGCTCTTCCATGTCAGTCCCTTCGAGAGGAGGACCTGAAACGATTCGAACATCTCGGTGGTGTGACTGCTGAGTGCTACTCAAATGCGGACCCCAAGGTGTTGCTCGGGCAGGATAACTGGGATCTCATAATTTCCCGCGAAGTGCGCGAGGCAGGGCGGAATGCTCCTGTAGCCTCTCGTACTGGGCTGGGATGGGTTATCCATGGATACGCCCCATCTAGAAACAAGCGCGGGAATGGCGAACTTGCCCTCGCCTTGAACGATCCGGAGGCCTGTGGGGCAGGGTACGCTGACATGGGAGGCGATCACAGAAATGAAGACCTCCATGCCTTGATAAAGGCTAATTTTGCGTTCGAAGGAATGGGCATCACTGTGCAGAGCAGGAAACCTGCAGCGATCCAACGAGCAGAAAAGCTGTTGGATGCCACAACACGTCAAATCGAAGGACAGTGGGAGACGGGATTATTGTGGAGACACGATACAATAGAATTCCCGGATAGCCGAAACACGGCCCTGAATCGGCTCGAAGCGTTAGAACGCAAAATGGACCGCAATCCTGAGTTTCGCGCGGCATATCAAAAAGAAGTGAATAGCCTCCTTGAAAGTGGTTATGCGACCAGGGTTGGCGAAGCAGAGGATTGCTCAAAAAGAGTGTGGTATTTGCCACACTTCGGCGTGACAAACCCAAATAAGCCGGGGAAACTAAGGCTAGTATTTGATGCAGCCGCGAAGACGCGGGGTGTGTCTCTGAATGACAAATTGCTGAGTGGACCTGACCTGCTAAATTCGCTATTGGGAGTCCTCATGCGATTTAGACAGCGCCGTGTGGCATTCACCGGTGATATAAAGGAAATGTTCTTACGTATCAAGATTCGGCCAGAGGATCGATGTGCGCAACGATTTTTGTGGCGTGAGGAACGGGGACGACAACCGGACACGTATCATATGACATCAATGATATTTGGGGCCGCTTCGTCACCGTGTTCGGCCCTTTATGTCAAAAATATAAATGCGCGAGCGTTTGAAGAAAAATTTCCAACAGCCTGTAACGCCATCATTAAAAAACACTACATGGATGACTACCTGGATAGCGTGGACACCGAGGAGGAAGCTATACGCCTAATTCGTGAAGTGACCGAGATTCACCGACAGGGAGGATTTGAGATCCGCGGGTGGTCCAGCAATAGTGAACGAGTTCAGAGCAGCTTAACAGCGAACAAAGCGGCGACTGGAAACGTCAACCTGGCATTATGTGAGCACCCTGTGGAGAGAACCCTGGGGGTCATGTGGAACCCCTGCACTGACACGCTTTCCTTCGACCTCAGTATGAAGAAGATACCGACGGACATCATGGAAGGGAGGCGCAAGCCCACCAAACGAGAAATGCTGCGAGTAATAATGTCAGTGTTTGATCCCCAAGGTTTCCTAGCGCCCTTTACAATTCGTAGCAAACTATTGCTGCAGAACGTGTGGCGTAGCGGCATTGGATGGGACACACAACTAAAAGACGAAGAATATGAGCTATGGCAACGCTGGATGAAAGATTTAAAAAATATCACGGGCTGCACTGTGCCTCGCTGTTACGCTGTTCGTGCCCAACAACCAATAGACGCCGAGCTCCATGTTTTTTGTGACGCAAGCGAGAAAGCGTTCGCCGCGGTCGCATACTGGCGATTACGCTATGATGCTACCACCACCGACGTCGCATTTATAGCGGGAAAGAGCAGGGTAGCGCCCCTGAAACTAGTCTCTATCCCGCGGATGGAGCTGCAGGCGGCCGTGTTGGCCGTCCGATTAGCTCAAACCATCACTGAAGAGCATGAAATAAAAGCATCCAAGCGTAGATACTGGACGGATTCACGCACTGTCTTATTATGGATAAAATCTGATCCCCGAAAGTATAAAGCGTTTGTAGCGCATCGTCTAGGAGAGATCGACGACATGACAAAGGTCGACGAATGGAGATGGGTTCCTACGAAGCAGAACCCCGCAGACGATGCAACCAGAGGCAATGAGACAACACTGACAGCGAACTCAAGATGGTTGCAGGGCCCATCCTTTCTCACGCGGGATGAGTCGGAATGGCCGACATCGATACCATTGCGAGGTTTGGACCGCACCAGGGGCGAGCAACGACGACAATTTGTGGCCGTCAGTACTGAGAAGCTCCAGAGTTCTCTGCCAAGCGTGAACCGATTTTCTTCATGGTTGCGGCTTGTGCGAGCGACGGCGTGGGTACTCGTATTCATTGCTCGATGCAGGAAAACATCGAATTCAGGAATTAACAGCGAATACATTGAAAGAGCAGAACGACTCTGGATGAAGAAAGCCCAGGAGGATAGTTTTGGTCCAGAACTAGTGGCGTTGAAGCAAGGACAGGCAGTGGACAGAAGCAGCCGACTATTCCAGCTGTCCCCCACGGTAGATGCGAGTGGGCTGATGCGGTTGCAGGGACGCATCAGCGCCACGGTAGATATCCCGGAGGCGATGAAGTTTCCGGTCATTCTGGACGGTCGACATCCATACACGCGATTGCTCGCTATGCATTACCATCAGAGGGCTGGTCACGGAAGCCCCGAGACAGTGGTCAACGAACTGAGACAGCGGTATTGGGTGCTGAATCTCAGGCCAACGGTACGGCAGGTGGCCAGCCATTGCCAGTGGTGTCGGGTGCAGAGAGCGAAACCGCAGCAGCCCAGGATGGGAGATCTACCGCACGCACGCGTGGGTCACCACGCAAGGCCATTCACCCATTGTGGGGTAGACTATTTCGGCCCAATGGACGTGACGATCGGACGACGCCGAGAGAAGAGATGGGGCGTATTGTTCACTTGCCTCACAACAAGAGCCATACACTTAGAGCTGGCGGCGTCTCTCAGTACCGACTCAGCTATTATGGCGTTAAGGCGAATGGCTGCAAGGCGGGGGTGGCCGTCTGAAATGTACTCAGACAACGGCACCAATCTCCGAGGTGCCGACACTGAACTTCGGCGAGCCATCGCAGAAATTGACCAAGAGGCTTACAAAACAGAAATAACGAATCGGGAAATCAGATGGCATTTCATCCCGCCATATGCGCCTCACATGGGAGGGAGCTGGGAAAGGCTCGTACGCAGCGTCAAGGTGGCACTTCGGGTGACGCTTAAGGAACGAGCTCCAAAAGAGGAGACTCTATCTACCCTCTTGGCGGAGGCGGAACATACAGTCAATAGCCGACCTCTGACACATGTGTCGGTGGACCACCGAGATCAAGAGAGCTTGACACCCAATCATTTTTTGATCGGGACATCTTCGGGTGCACCGGTCCCGGGACAGTTCAATGACGGCGATTTATGCTTGAGAAAGCAGTGGCGAACAGCTCAAAGACTAGCCGATATGTTCTGGAATAGATGGGTAAGAGAATACCTACCAACCTTGCTTCCCCGAAAACGCTGGCAGGAGGAAGTGCGGCCATTGGCAATAAACGACTTGGTCATAATTGCCGACCATACTCTGCCAAGAAATGTTTGGCCGAAAGGGATTGTGACTGGGACGCTGCCTGGTCGCGATGGGCGTGTCCGGGTCGTCGACGTGAGGACTGGGGGACACATCCTGACCAGGCCGGCGAACAGGGTTATCGTGATCCCGAAGGCAAAATAGGGTACGAGGCAGCGCTGCCTCCGTACCGGGGGATAGTGTGTTGCCGACGCGATGGACATGATCCGATAATTGCTGGGTCGCTTGAGGGGCCCCCAGCCATGGGAATTACGCAAGAGCCCGCACCTCAGGTAGAGCATTCGCTTGTCTGAGGGGTTGGCCGGGATTTCCAGTTGGAAGTGATCGTTCGGGCAGCGCGGAACGATATAATATGGAGAAAGTGTGAAGTGCGTGCTGTCGACGAGGAGGGAAGACGGCGGAAGATGTGCGAAGTACAAGTGCAGTGCACGTAGCTTCAGAGCAAGGAAACGAAGATCGTAGAGGCGGCCGTCCTAGGAAGGCCGNATAATAAACATTATTTCTTTCGTTCCACTACATATCATAGAATTATTTCTCGTAGTCCAGTACTTATCATTGGATAATAACATTCCTCATCGTATACCATAATTTACTACTTTTTATTCAATGATAAGTACTGAAGTATAAAAAATAATTCTATGATATGTACTGGAACGACAGAAATAATTTGTACTCTACAATAATTATTACCCTGCGAGAAACAAATGTCATTACGAAAAGTTTCTCACATCATTGTAAGGTAAGAAAACTATGTCATTATTAAGTTCATTATTAACTTTATTAGCCAATTTTCTTACACTACGATAATGTAAGAAACATATCGTAATGTCATTTATTTCTCGCATTGTAATAATGATTATACAGTAAACATTATTTCTTTCGTTCCACTACATATCATAGAATTATTTCTTGTAGTCCAGTACTTATCATTGGATAATAATATTCCTCATCGTATAGCATATGCGATTCGGCAGCCGATTCCTTCAAATTGAAGCAGAAAAGCAGAGCTTCCTGCATGTGCTCTTTTTCTGGCAAAAAAACTAGACATGATTATCAAAGGAAAAATATATGTTGATGTATGAAATTGCTGACAATGTGCACTGATTATTGTTGACAGATGTTAAACTCATACAAAATAAAAGTATGGTGTGTCCATAGTAACTGAATATGCTCACTAACGCAATCTATGAGCAGACAGCGGATTTAAGATTATACACCTGGTACACACTGTAACGCGATTTTTCCCATTCGAAAACCTCGCGTACCTTCGTCGGTCCGCGCTCTCGCCTCCCTCCCCATTCTCCGACAATCCAATGGACGCCACTTGATTTTTGGATCCCTGGAACCAACAAACCGGTCTAATCGGAATCGTTACTCATAATCGCAAAACTTATCACCTAAATTATATCCCGAAACCGAGAGAAGGGTGGCAAGAGAGGACTCGGACGGCATGTCCCGTATCGCTCAGGAGGCAAGTTATGGAGAGTTAAGGTCGGGGTCGTAGCTGACTTAAGGGAGTAGGTGACTAGCTATACTATAGCGTAAACAAAAAAAGTGGTATATTAAGATATTTACATCGTATCATAGACGGTCATATATCGCAGCAGGAACAGGAGTCCCTCGCTGATTGCTCCCGAGCCGCCATTAGAGGTGTAGACCTCCGAAATGTTAACAGCCTCGATCCTTCGACGCGAGATTGGGATCCCCGGGACTCTGATATCGCAAACGGAACGGAACGGTATCGTGTGGAACTTCATACTCACCCTGGAGTTCCCTGGAACGAACGGGAATGGAACCTCAATACCTTACTGGAGCAATCGATCGGCACCTCGCCCTCGGTCCTCTTTTTCACACAACCACTCATGACATGACACTCACTCGTATCAGACTCCCTTTTCGAATTCTTCCAAAATCCTACGCAACCCGAAATTCCGGACATATCCCCCTCCCCCTCGGATTACCCGGCGCGTCATGGGAGGGGAACGTACGGTATCTTGGAGGCCGCGGGGGTTGTCACCGGCTCTCCGGAGATTGGTAGGGGAATCCGCCGGCGGGGCTCCCCCTGGGACCGACCTTGGTGGCGGAGGACGACCTATTCAAAAAATGCCACGGCTTCTTCGGCAGTGGCTGTGGCCTGTCCACCGCGCAAGGTCTGCTAACCGTATATCTTGGCGCCTCCGGGCCTCACTAGGTCGATCCTCTCCGCATCGGTGAGCTGGGATCACCAGACCGGTGGCCCGTGCCAGCGAACCTCCTCGGTCGGAGCGCACCACCCGGTTGGACGACTCTGACTTGATCCATGTACCGCTTTCGGGTGGGCGACCTCCCGGTTACCTCGCAGAACTCCCTCCGTGGGACGAGGGGTCCCACTCCCCGGATGTTTTGGGGAGTCAGGGCCCCTGCCTCGACCTCCTCACGTCCCTCTCCTCGCTCGAATTCGCGGGCTCCGACGGGTCCGGGAGCGGAACGGCACATATCCTATTCTCCTCACACCATCCTTAGACTTTCCCGAAGATCCCAAGTCGTCTATTACGGTCGTGGTCTTAGAACGGACGAAAATCCGTCACAAGACATATTAATCATACTTAATTCAAGCCAACTTCGGAAGTATAGTTTTCAAGATATTATACCGCGGAGAGCAAATCCTAACGTCATAGCACATTATCCGGCAACAGGATGGTTCCGCTCTCGATATGAAAACGATGTCCCTGAACCAAAGAAATATTTTGTTAAACCAAGGAATAATTTCACTTGAATAAAATCGATTAAATTGGATGTAACGTTTCTTCGGATTTATGACCATTTATTTTTTAACAAAATAATATCACATTTACCATTTCACGCCCGTAACGACGCCAATTTACAGCGGAGAGCCTCAACCTCGTAGATAAAGGCGTTTATTAGAACCCAAACGGTCCCATCATCGAGCGTGATGAAATATACGCACATGCCTCCATCTCTAAGATTGAGGAATGTTATGCGGAGTTCGGCGAGTTCTTCGCCCGTGTGTCGCAGCCAGGCTACAGGGGCCCATATTGCCGGCATCAAGGGCCACCTTCCGACACCGTCCGTGAACTCCCAGACCTCAAAATCCTCCGCGGATTCCTGTGCCCCGGCAGGATACTCCTCCTCCTCGAAAGGTGGCAGATGCGGCGCTTCGTCGCCAATGTTACACTCCCGTTAGCGTGCACATTCCGGATCACGCGGTGCCATGATTAATTACCAAATGACCCTCTGGTCGCATTGAAATTCTGCATCTGTACGTTATCAAGCTCTAAGAAATTGGTAATGCAATCCCGCGCGTACACGAACAACATAAACATTTGAAGCGGTCTGAAAACCGATAGACCAGAGTCAGCAAATTTCTTGATCTCCCCCGTATTTGCGGAAGGAGGTGTATAATTTGGAATAAAATTATACAGGTTTGGGAAAAAATTAGCGAGTCACACTCGTGTCGTCTTCTGTGAATGTTTTGAAGAATCTATGGGGAACAATTTTGTATTTATCTTGTCTTTTTAAGAACCCAAAAGAAATCGACGGGTCTCATCGAGGTAAGCTAAGTACCGATGATTCAAAGGCAATCACCGCAATTGCGAACCAAAGGAACCGCTGTCCTAAGTTTCGATAGCTTGCGGTACAGCAAAGCCGATATTAACTACGCGCCGATAAGAATCGAAGTTTAGATACTTGTCAGAGGTGTGAAGTCACATAGCGTTCTACCGTCTTTGAATATACAGCGTCAGCTGATTAACCTACAGGAGCAGGCGCGCGGAGATGCAACCTCACGTGCCCACGAACCGTGAACCAAAGCGAGGAACGCGCGAAAATATTTTCATCAGAAATCATTCAGAGGAAACGTCTATGTTCGAAAACGATATAAAATTGTAACGATCGTGAAATACGATGCATTCGATTATTTTTAAATACGATGCTTTCAATTTTTTTGTTTAAATACATAACGATTCTTCGCTTGCGGATTTACTCTAAACAATATAGAAAACGCAAACGTTGATTGAACTCTGAAACATATAGTTTCGATCAATATTTTAAACCAAAGTAGCCGTCGTCTTGAGTTTCACTAGCATGCATTAAGACGAGTGCGATACCGCCTACGCAGTGACAAGAATCGACACTAAAGTCCTCGTCTGAGGTGTGGAGTTACATAGCACTCTGCCACCTTCGAATGTACACTAGTGAACATGAATACCTAACATGGTGCATCGGCGGCACCGTACTCCCCAAGGAAGCCATTCATGTCCACAACTGTACTACGTCAACTGATTTAACTGGGGAGACAGTCGTACGCTGAGATGCGACCTGGTGTTGTGAGAAACCGCGAACCGTCTTTTTTTTCAGTAGGAATCATTTCTGGGAAACGTCTATGATGGAAAACGAAATAAAACTGTAACGATCATTGCTAGATCGTGAGAAATGATGATTTCGTTTCTTAAATACGTAGCGAGAAGACCTCGCGGGCGAGCGCGCAGCCATTCCGGTAGAATTGCTGGCACTAAACTTCGCAAACTCATATGAAGCTTACTCTCACAATATAGAAAACGCTAACGTTGATGCGTCCTGAATCATCTTTCTACGGTTTTTATACGACTTATGCTCGAAGGGTTACTTCGCTCGTCGCTCATGTCTCGATAACATCGAGGTAATAAAGCGCGTCTGAGATTTTGTCTCTTTCTCTTACGAGTATTTTACCGACGAGAGTATAATCACCCATTCCTCAGTTGCGAGTATAATCACCCATTGTTCGGTTTATTCGTTCTGCCCTAAAAAGTAAAATTTAAAAAATGGAGGGCAGACACATGCTCATACCCTGTATTTCTGCTTTGTTGAATTTGGCTGCTCCTTTAAGCACCTACTTACAGCGCATATGCAACGAGCATTGACGCCGAAACCTGAGGTTCGTCGGTATTTCGGGGTTATAAAGAAAACTGCAATACGTGTCGCGTCGCTGGATTCGCCTGTTGCGAGCTCACGGTTAACGTTGGTTCTCGACGCAGGACGTTGGTGAAGGATGGTTCCACGGGTATCTCATCGTCGTCGCAGCCAGTTTTACCGCTCGGGTAGATGTAGCCGATTATCCGACGCAATCCCTGTGCCATGAGTAAGGGATGAATTCCGTCGCTGCATTGTCGTTTGCACGGCACACGATTACCGGCAGAGGTTACGGTGAACGCCTAATGATCCTTAATGGCATCCGTTTCGTTAATTTCTCGAAATACGCCAGCTACGCCGTGGTACAGACCAGGGTTCACGAAATCCCGCACCGTTACATCCGATGCGTCCGGAACGACGGAGTAGACGGGCACGCGCTCGATGTATTTATCGTTACGCGCTACGTGAAAAACAGTTTGAGGATACTGAATTTCCGTAAGCGTGACGGCCCACTCGCCGTGTAATCGCACCTCGCGCGGTAGATGCGTCGTGTAATGCGTGGTCTTATTATGCGTAAAGTATTTCATACTGCTGTTACTCGAGTCTACATACCATGTAGAAATTATCTCGAATATCTTACTTTTTTCTTTCTCTCAACATTGTTCCTCTCGTCCTTCTCGGCGGTCCGCTACGCGTCTGAGTTCTCTCTCGTAGATGAAACTGTCGATGGTTTCGTCCTCGTTCGGAGTCGTGCAACGTGCAGAACGGTGGTTGACGCTGCTCGTGAACGCGCGCGATTTTGAAGACTTCCTTCGACCATCGACCATTGTACCCTTTCGCGAAAACTATTTGACCGTTACTGATGCGCACGAGCTCGCCTGCGCTGTATTTAGACTTCCGCGAAGGTACGCTATCATTTCAGCATATTCTGCCACGCTTTGGCTGCGGTGTGCAGAGTCACTTGACTCGGCGCCATCTTGATCGTGCTGTGACGGGTGTCGTTATACGCGGAGACGATCTTCTCTAGAACATAGACGTATCGAACCGGTGTGCGTGAAGTAACGCCACAAGCGTTCCTTTAGCGTGCGATTGAAGCGCTCGGCTATGGCCGCTTTTACGTCCAGATCGTGAACCAGGCAAAATTGTATCTTTCATTGACGCAGGTGCTTTTGAAACGCCTCGGCGGCGTATTCCTTACCGCGATCGATCTGCAGACAGATGGGAAAACGGCCGCCGCTTCGCGAGAGGATGCGGCGGAAACTTCTGTCCACGATGACTCTGGTCTTGTCGGGTAACGTCTCCACCCAGGCGTACTTGCTGAGGACGTTGATGACCACGAGTAGGTACGCATGATCATTGTTGTAGGTTCGAAACGCGCGCAGATCAACGAGATCGGATTTCCAGACATCGTCGACGTCGCTCACGTTATAGGGACGTCTGGGAAATCGATAGATCACGGGTCAGTGAAAGGTATAGGCGTCCTGACGCTCCAACCAACATCTCGTTTTTTCGAACGGTAGACCCCACTTCTTCTTCGCGACGCGTACTAGTCTCTCGGTACCAGAATATGAGCTCTCGACGCGTGGGTCGTAGTACAATTTCTCTAAAAATGTCAACGCTTATATACGCTCGCAGGTTCTATCGCTGGTAGAGGGTGCGTCGATGGCTAATCTAACTCTGAGGTGACTTTTCTCGTTCGTCTGCTTTTTCTTCTTCTTCTTCTTCTTCGGCGATGCAACATCGGTGTCACGATATTCGCCCTCGTTACCGGTATCGAACACCGACGACGACGATAACGTAGCGGTAGAGAAAGAGGAAGGCGTGAAGTCGGATAGGGATACACGGGATCAGTAGCAGCAGCAGCAGCAGCAGCAGCTCCAGCTGATCGTCTCGCGTCCGTCGTCGCGCTCCTCTGACGACTCTTCGCGACAACCGACAACGTTCTCGTCTCGTTTCGACGCGTCTCCTCGGGTGAGATCAGAGAACTGTGTCGGAGATAGTCCGAATTACTCAAATAAGTTTTAGGCGCAGCGATGCTGCGGAGAAATCGGGCGAATTGTTGTCGACCAAACACCCGCGCTCTCTTCCATGAGCGCATGGCCTTGTTAACAAGATCGACGATATTCGACCGAGCGAATTGTACACCGCCGATCGTTACGCAACCTTGGGCATCCCAAAAGCATCGACCACCGCCCGTTCGCCGTACATATCTCAGCAAATTACGCGCTTTGTCACAAAATTTCTCCGGTACCGACTCGAGGATGATAGAATCGGAGAGTCCGCCTGTTTCTTCTTCTTCTTTTTCTCCTCTTCGTCGGCTCTTCGTCTCCTCCTCATCCTTCTTCTTGTCAGAAAATTTTTGCTGATGACGCTCTTTATCGGCGAAATGCAAGTATCGCCGTAACACCTGTTCGTATTAACGCCATATTTCTCGATAGCTCATACAACGAGGCGTGTGCAGGATTTCGTACATTTGGCCGTCGAGCCGACTGGTGACATCCCCCGGTGTTTACACCGTCTTGCACCGTTTGCTTCGTCTCCGAAATGATCGCGACGAGTGGTTGATGCTGTTGTTGTTGTTGTTGTTGCGCGCGTCCCACGCTCTCCAGAGGCACGAGAACCATCTTCTTAGCGTGCTCCATGGCGAGTTTTCTCTCTCTGTAACAGCCGATCAAATTAGAGAGGATCGTGCCGAGAATGGGTGCTAGCAGAAGCGGTAGAAAACCCCCGCGTTGAACGATGATGCGTTTCTTCGTCAATAAGCCAACGGATTTTTTTAGCGAGACGCCGCAACAGCGAGGAGTGACGTTTGAGACGATGCTTCTTGCGCGGTTTCAACGGTACGTTGCCGCGCAAGGTGTTGAGCGCGCACTCGCAGATACACTTTAGGAGTCACGGATCGGCCGAGCGTAGCAACACTTTGCGCTGTATTGTGTTCAAGTGACAGAGAGCGTGTAAAATGGCTGCCTGCGTCCTACCGATATGTATGTACAGTAGGCACCCCCACATCGGAAATATGGAATGAAACCTATTGGAGAATTTAGTGCTTTTTTAGTGCTATTTTAGTGCTACAACCTCGATTTTAGTGCTCCACCCCTTGTACCGAAAATCGGTGGGGGTGCTGAGTGAACGTTAACTCAGCAACCCCACAGTGCAATATACGTTAAAGGAAAGATTCACGGATAAAACGAATATGCTGTATTTTGGTGCTTTTTTAGTGCTCTAGAAATATCCAAGAGTCGAATCCGAAACACCACCCCTTTCTCCCCAAAACTACCCCAACCGTATGGGCCTCAAGAGAGAAGGAACCGAAAACCTAATATTTCTCCTGTGCTGCTTAATTTAACGCTGCTTATTACTTTACAAGTACGTTACATAAATATCTGCTGTTCTGGGGTTATTTTTAGCTTTACATGGTAAGTAAATTCGATACCAAAGTTCTGGGCAATGATTTACTTACGTCCTATTCGGAACGTTTGATTACAATGATTAATCTCTTACACTTATGCCATATATACTAGAATATATAAGTCGTTAAATTTTTACTCTTCTGCATCAGATATTTGTCGCGGCATAAATTACAAGGTGAGGTTAGACGTAACGGTTTAGGTTAGGTTAGGTTTATATTATATGACTCTTCTTTTAAGATGCAATACTCGTACGACGATTGCATCTTAAAAGAAGGGTCATATAATATAAACCTAACCTAACCTAAACCGTTACGTCTAACCTCACCTTGTTATTTATGCCGCGACAAATATCTGATGCAGAAGAGTAAAAATTTAACGACTTATATATTCTAGTATATATGGCATAAGTGTAAGAGATTAATCATTGTAATCAAACGTTCCGAATAGGACGTAAGTAAATCATTGCCCAGAACTTTGGTATCGAATTTACTTACCACGTAAAGCTAAAAATAACCCTAGAACAGCAGATATTTATGTAACGTACTTGTAAAGTAATAAGCAGCGTTAAATTAAGCAGCACACGAGAAATATTAGGTTTTCGGTTCCTTCTCTCTTGAGGCCCATACGGTTGGGGTAGTTTTGGGGAGAAAGGGGTGATCTTTCGAATCTGGCTCGTGGGTATCCCCAGAGCACATAAATAGCACCAAAATAATACGAAAAGAGAACGTGCAAAATTTTGATATTTCTACGTCTTCTGTTTTGGAGCCTATACGATCCGGGGTAGTTCTGGGATGAAAGGGGTGGTGTTTCGGATTCAGTTCTTGGATATATCTGGAGCAGTAAAATAGCACTAAAATAATTCGAGAAGAGAACATGCGAAATGTTATTATTTCTACCTCTTCTCTCTTGGCGCTTATACGATCGGGGGTAGTTTTGGGATGAAAGGGGTGGTGTTTCGGATTCGGCTTTTGGATATTTCTAGAGCACTAAAAAAGCACCAAAATACTGCATACTCGTTTTATCCGTGAATCTTTCCCTTAACGTATATTGCACTGTGGGGTTGCTGAGTTAACGTTCACTCAGCACCCCCACCGATTTTCGGTATAAGGGGTGGAGCACTAAAATCGAGTTTGTAGCAATAAAATAGCACTAAATTCTCTAATAGGTTTCATTCCATATTTCCGATGTGGGGGTGCCTACTGTACATACATCCTACCGATCGGCCAACGTGTTTTCCGTGCCATCACAATGACGTGGCTGATGCGTCGTATCGGTGATTTCTCGTTTTTATTTCAGGGGCGCGCGCCGGACGTACGCGTACTGTTACTTCCCCTCGCCGGAAATGAGACACGTGAAATCGACAATTATCAGGCGTCGATTGTTTCAGATTGAGCAACAGATAACCGTGAGGTCGCGACCTGGCGTTGTGATAAACGTCCGGCAGGAATCGCGGACTCTCCGGACACACTTGACGCGCCAGATGGCGTATCTGCGCACGATCTCACGGATTCTTGAACACGACGATGTAATTGGCGTTCAGCGAGATGTCGCGTTGCCCGTGACCCTGATGAAACAGATTTTACGTGATGAAGATCACGCTCAGACTGTTGTGACAGCTACTCCTCGTGAAGAGATCCATCACCGTCTTGCTCGATGCCTAGCGCATCAGATCGTCGATGATCACGAGGTTCGAGCGAGAATCGTCCGCGTAGTCGCTCGAGCGAGGTAGAGCCTCGCGAAATTCCACCCCGTCGCCGTACTCACAATAACCATCCTGATACTCGGAATAGTAGAAAGGAACGCGTTCAGGCGGGACGTCCATC